GTGTTGTGTACTGCAGTACACAACTGCAGGCAGTACACAACACACAACGCGTAAGACACATCCGACCAAAAGCATACACAACCTCAGGTTGACAATTCCCATCACCGGGACGAATCAACAAGAAGGAGCCAAATTTTATTTCAAATGTTTTAAGCTTTTAAATATTTTAACATTGACAGCTCAATTTGAGAGCATTCTTTGGATGGAATGCAAGAGGTGTACATGCATTCAACGTTACTAGAAAGTGTTGTGCTTTTACACTCCGACATCTGTAGCAGATCACGCAGCTTACATACTGTGTACAATACAATGCCAGTGGTTTCATGTGTTTGTAACGTGCCTCTGATGATGGTTCTTTTGAACCGAAACATGTAAGGCGAGTGAAATAAATAAGTGACCTAAGAACGTTGTTACACTCGACGGATTATTCATTGACAATTTGTGATTGATAGTGTAACGGACCAAATATGAAACAATTCAAATTCATAGAATTTTAATTATTACCCAGAAGAAACAGACACAGGTGCAAGAAATTGTATGTGAGTTAATCCTCTACATATTCCCCCTCCAAGGCCGCACATTTTCCCCGATGCCTTAGCTGTTGAATACCTTGATTATAGAAGGTCTCATTTTGACTGTCTAGGAAGTCCTCCACTGCAGAAATGACATCTTGGAATCGCTTACCACGAAGTGGCTTCATTAGCTGCGTAAAGAGGAAGAAGTTGCTTGGTGCCAGGACTGGTGAAAATGGTGATGGGAGAAGAATTTCATATCCCAAACTGGCAGCTAGTGTTGTAGCATGAGCCAGTGCATTGTCGTGGAGAAGTCGCACCCCTTTTCCCAGCATTTCACATAGATTTTTCTTGATTGCCTCCTGTAATTTTCTCAGAAGATTCCAGTAGTACTTGCCAGTGATTGTGACACCCTTTTGTGCGTTGTTGGTCATGATGTCACCCTGCCGATCCCAGAACACACTCAACATTACCTTTCCTGTTGACGGCTGGGATTTGGCCTTCTTTGGTGGCGGTGAGTCTACATGTTTCCACTGTTTGCTCATTTCCTTTGTTTCAGGGTCATAATGATAGACCCAGCTTTCATCCATCGTGATCAGGCAGTCGAAAAATTCCACCTTTTTGTCTTGACACAACTGCAAAAGTTTCTTTGTCACATCCATCCATTGCTGTTTTTGAACTGGTGTCAGCAGTTGTGGCTTCCAATGCACAGCGACCTTTGTCACGTGTAATTCATCATGGATGATGTCAAAAACTGGCCCATGGCTCCTGCTGATCTCATGAACAATAGCTTCAATAGTTGAGCACCTATCGGATAGGATCAAAGCTTCCACCTGTGTCACAATTCCCGCTTCCTCAACGAGAGATCGTCTTCCACTTCTGGGTTCATCTTCAAGGTTTGTGTTTCCACAATGAAAGCTCCTCTTCCACCTGACCACTGTGTCATATGATGGTACACCTTCCTGATACACAGCGGTCATCTGGTCATGGATCTCCCTGGCAGACTTCTCTTGCAAATGCAGGACCCATATCACAGCGCGAGCCTCCACTTTCTCAACCGACGTCACCAATTTGCTTCTGCCCCTTGCAGTGGCTCTCTCTGTCCACTTAGCATGGAAAAATTTGACTGTTCGACAAGCTCAGGAAATGGGCTATCTCCTATGTAGAATGATATTTTGGAATTATGATTTTCTCGTGGTGATAATTAAAACGTGACTTCCCATCATATATGTGTATATATATACACACACACACACAAGGGTTGGAAATTTAATAGTGGCAACACTACTGTAGAGACACCATGCAACAGAACCAAGTAATGTCGCTTATACCACACATTAGTTACATACCTACCTTACCTCAGAGCAAATGGACTCTCCCTTCCCATATCACGCGCATGTGCAGTGACGAGAAGAACAGATCCTTGTGTTAGCTGGCGGTCTAATGTAGTGTTGTCGCGATGTGTTCAAAACAGGAACAATGGATTTGGATAAAAAGTGAATGTGCCAGAGGCCATACAGCACAGCAGTGTCATCAAGGTCTTCAAGAGGCTTGTAGGGAATCTGCATTGCCTTACAGAACAGTGGCAAGGTGGGTAAAAGCCTTCAACGAGGGATGCCAAAATGTGGCAGACATGTGTCGGCCAGGTTGTCCTAATGTCAGTGAAGAAGAAGTTACTGGAGATTGATCAGTGCCATACGATTCGTGAGCTGGCCCGAGAGACAGGATTAGCGCAGAGGACTGTGCTTCACATTCTGAAGGAACTCCTGGGCATGAGAAAAATTGCATCACGATAGGTTCCACATGATTTGACGGAAGTGCAGAAATGGCTATGATACGACGCTGCTCGTAACCACTTGGAGTGCTATGAGCGCGAAGGAGAGGCTTTCTTACGCCATAGCATTACGCTGGATGAGACATGGGCCAAATTGTATAAGCCACAAATGAAACACCAATCAAACGAATGGTGTCATTACGGGTCATCACGAAAATCAAAAGTTCGTCAGAACCCCAGCAATATGAAAGTTATGGTGATTCTCGTGTATGACTGTAATGGTATTATCCTAACCCATACCATTCCCTGACAATAGACCCTCAGTGCGCAGTATTACTGTTCATTTTTGGAACACAACCAGTGACCAGCTTTGAGAAAGAAGCGGCGACACTTTCTGCAGAACCCACCCATCATTTTGCAGGAAAATACTCGGCCGCATGCGGCGCAAGCTGTGGCTGATTTGTTCAATTGATGAGGCTGGGAAGTGCTGTACCATCCACCATACTCCCTGGACTTAAGCCTTTTTGTCTTCAACTTGATTCCTAAGATGAAGGAACCACTTCGTGGAATTCGCTTCAGAACTGCTCCAGAGATTTTTCAGTCAGTAGACCGCTCCATTTGAACTGTCAACACAATAGGCACTGCTAAAGGTATTCTATGACTTCCACATTGCTGGCAATGGGTTGCACACAATGCTGGTGACTACATTGGAGGACGGTAAAACTTCAAACCATGCATCTGTTTTATATCAGTTGTAAATAAATAGCTACGACTATTAAAGTTCCAAGCCTCGTATTTACATATAATGACGTGAAAATAATTATTACTGCAGTAAACAATATTCTATAATAAATATGTAACAATTGTATACATTTCTTTGGTTGGTATTTTGGGGAAAGAAATGTACGTTATATTCAGCTACATTAGTTTACAGCGTCTGACAGCTTGTGGTGGATGTTTTTATGGCTAAAATTGTTGTTCATACATGGCAGGTTATTGGAAAATGGTTTCTACAACTGTGAAGGAGAATGGAGTTGAGGGTGGAGAGGTGTCAGGCCTGCCACCTGGTGATTATAGCCTCATTGGATGGGATGTGGACACTACTGGACGGCGACTGCTTGATGAAATATTCCAGATTGCAGCTTTCGCTCCTGAAGTTAGTTTTTCTCAGTATGTGATGCCATTTCGTGATTTAAATCCTGCAGCTCGGCGCAGACATAACATTAGAGTTGTTACTGTAGGTCGCTATCGCATGCTCAAGGACTCCAGGACTGGAAAGGTTAGTTGTACAGACCACATTACTGCTTCAACAGGTTACATTTCTCATGTTTTGATTCTTACTTAACACAGGAGGGCAAACAATAAATCATTCAGTAAAGAATATGAGACAAACCCAGCTAATGTATAACTGAATATGAATCATATTTCTGGAAGGGAAAGAGACCTATTATATAATGCCAGTTAATAATATTTATAACTTCTAAACACTGCAGTGAATGAGAATAAAAGTACAGATCTGAACCATTACATTAGCAATCATTTCATCTTGAGGCACTCTCCCAACTAATTTTGACTTGGGATAGATAAAACAATTAAAAACGGTGTTTCACATCTTAATTTGTTTTGGCAATAAAGAAAGTACTGCGCAGGATAGAACAAATGTTTTAAATTTGTGCATTTTTTAACATGAGGCAGGTTATTCAAGAATGGTCTAAGTCAAAAATATATTCAGTGTATTGTATTGTATTGTTTCAAAATTGTGTGAATGATAACAATATATCCATGACCTGTGTAGTTTGAATTAATTTTGTCTTTTAAACATGCTGGTCAGAAATAAGAAGGCATTTCATCACTTGGAAATTAAGAATTCCCAAGTTCTTATCCCATTATACACTTTTTAGGGTGAACTAATTAATTTGTGATCAGACCATGTGATGTCTTTGTGCTGTCTGTATAAGTCTGTTGGTTACAGGTTCTAAAGACTAAAAGCGAGATTTTTGGATTATCAGACTTCATTCAGTGGCTAGAAGATATAAAAGGTAATGCAAGAGATGGTGTGATTCTTGTAAGTCACGAGCCCCGCAAGGTGGCAGCACCGCTTCTTCTGGAGGCATTGTACAAGTACAACCTGCTTGAGAGGTTCTCTGCTATAGTGAAGGGTTTTGCCAATGGATACAAAGTGGCTGAGATAAAATGTGCCAAAACTGTGCACTCATTTTCACTACGCACGTTGTCCCGTGTATTACTGAATAATGAAGAGGACCTAGACAATGCTGCAGATAGAGCACGCCTTGCCTTCCAGGTAAAGAGAATGAAGAAATCACCACAAAATATATACTTTGTACCTATCCTACAATTTTAAAAAGTCATAAAATATTAGCTGTAAAAATGTTCCTCCATCTCATGCAGAGACTTCTTTGATAATTCCTTTCTTTGAGTTGATATTTATGGATATTTTTTAGCCCTTCCTGGACACTCTGTAATGCTTTTGGTTCTTGTTCCGTAGGATCCTAGCACATATGACTTTTCGCTAAAGGAGGTTGATCCAGTATTTTGATATAGTCAGTAGATCTAGAAGTACTTGTTTTTTTATGGTCCCACAATATCTAGTCAAATCTTCAGTGAAGATACATTCCTCTGAAACGTCGGTTAACACAATATCTACATGACGCCATATCCCAGAAGACTGCTTTCTTCATAGTCACCACCGTGAAAACCTCAAATCTTACATACATTACAAAATTGTTTTAAGAATATTACAGATTTCAAAAAGTTTATGGTTTCTCCAACAGTAACTTCAAGTATTGCAAGCATTACAATGCTGAAGTTAAAGTATAAGTGCTGGAAATGCATATTATGACGGGTGAACCCACTGCATAGAGAAGTGTCACTTCCTAGGTAACGCATTATCAAGACATGGCGTGAAAACCAGCGTTCATTGCTAGTCAACAGCTATCAATTCCTAGGCAACGAATATTCTAGCTAACACGTGAAATGAAACTCTTCAATGAGGTGTCTTCTAGTTCATCTGAGTGTATAAAATAAGAGACCAAACAGAACACGGCCCTTGTTATGGATATGGCAAAATGTGACCACCAATCATGACTACATTTTTCTCAAAATAAGACAAAACTCCCAAGATGATTTGGTTATATTTTTAACATTATTGGGAAGTGTTCACTTCCTTACCACCTAATAAAACTCTGATCAGATGTTTCAAAGGTAATTAATTTAAGATAGAGGGATCATTACAATGCAAAGATTCTGAGAATATATTCAGATTATTAAACATTCTGGACAGTTAGAAAAAATGCCTTATCTGAAAATTGTCTATTTATCTGTGACATGGTATTAGGGTCTAAACTGTTGGGACTTCTATTTTCAGCCTGGTTTGCGTAAGACCAAATGAACCATGTATCCCATAAATTATTTCTGTGATATTGTTGAAATTCTATATTAATCCATAACAGATCTTGGTTTTAATAAGACCCTACATGAATACCTGTATTGTATAAATATCACAGATTTTGTTGACATTTTACATGAGACATTTCCACCAAAACTTAGGTAATTCTGGTTGCAAAATCAGTTCACAGTAAAACACAGTTTGCTTGAGATCATAAATGGAATTTACCATGTATCCTATAAACATTTCTGCACTGTTTCTTAAAATTCAGTATGTAAGACTGCCACTGATTTGCATTTAATTATTCTCATTATGAAGTTTAATGAGCTCTGAAGAATACCACTTGTAATTATGTGTATTGCATTTAAGAGCTCAGTCTTGTTCTTGGTCATCTCTTGTATCAAGAGTAGTAACTTCACAGTTGACAACAGTTTCAAAGTTGTAATGAGTATATAGAGCTCTCTAAACATTATCAAACACTTTCTTGCCTATAGGAAGTCATGCAATGGAATCAGAAGGAAACCACTCACAGTCATATAATAATCTGCTGGAAAGATAATGGCCAGTATACTATGGCATTCTGCGGTCATTGCTGAATACTATGCAGGCATTATAGAGGTGTGTAATGTTATCAAACAGAATTCCTTGGCTTCTAGGCCTAGCCCCAAGTTCCTATGTAATGTTCAGAGGGTTGAAAGAATTCCCGTGGGAAAAAGAGAATTTCCAGCAATAACACAAAACCCCATAATCATGTGTTGTCTTTGAACACAGATCATCCACTAAGAAGGTACACACATGTTACATGTTACATCCTCCTTGTCACTCTCTGTGGTTCTTGTATTACAGCAAAGTGTGTTTGTTGTAGTTAGGTCCAGTAACCTGTGCAAATCATATGTGATTACTAGAGCTAGGATTTTCATGCAGTATTATAATTATGTAACAGAAAAACTCTGAAATATGTAGTAAAACATGTGGATTCATTAAAATATGTAACATTGCTAAAAGCAATATGCAGACCACCTTTATTTACAGTCTTTTGACAAAATCATTGATTTTTTTATGCACAGTACACAGAATATTTTCCATATCTTCGGGGATCATTGATTGTCTTTTATCTGATAGAATGTGTTTGTAGGCTGTAAAGGATCTTTCTACATCACAAGATGTCAGTGATGTGTATTTAAAAAAAGAATGAACTATATCATCTCCGTTAAGTACTTGACAAGCACGGGTAATTGTCGAAAATCCAAGATTTCTTTTTGACACTGCCTGCAACGTGGTGGACACACTTTCACCAGCCTCTCCTGTCACAACACTAAGCTTTTCACTTGCATTTTTCATTATGTCCATAGATTCTTGCAGAGGAAGTCTCTGGGTTTCTAACCATTTTATACTCTATGGAAGCCAGCTGAAATGGCTTCAAATGCAGGCAATTGAACAGGCCACTTTTGGATCAGTGAATGCACTGTGGGATTCACGCATTGAAACAGCTGACTCGGAGGGAAGCTTGGCTACAGTCGATTTCACAGTTTCAAAGTGTTCACTGCAAAAAGTTGTCTGCTTTGTCCAGGTTCCCCATCTTCTTGGCACTGGTTCGAGGGGCAGGGGTGCATCTAACAAGTGCTGCTTATAGAATTGCATTCGATGTGGGACTTTTAAGAGCACTTTTCTTGTCATTGAAATTAATTTGTTCACTTGGGATAACTTGGGTCTAACCTCCTCAGCAACATGTTGCAGTCCATGAGCCAGGAAAGTAAAATGAATCAAATTAGAATAAAAGCCTGTAAACTCAGTTGAAGCTTTCAGCGTATACTCATATGCTGCAGCACCTTCTCCTCATGAACTATGGTAGGCCACAACACTAAGTCTGTCATTCACAAACCTTGCAACAGTGGAATGATTTATGTGATGCAGAACTATGGAGCAAATCAAATGTGGATTACAAAGAACTTCAATGTCTAACTTGCCAGCCACAAGGTTTGCAATAAAGCAACCTATGGTATTCATCGTTTTGTCCACAGCATCCCATATAAAGCTAACTTCTGTGTTACCTCTTTATGTTTTCCAAGGTTTCTTCATAGCGGATAGGAAGATAAAGTTTTTGAAATGTTGACTGGTCTGGAATATGTTTCTTGCAGTAATTTCCCAAAAAAGGACTGAATTTCAGGCCTTTTGAGTTTAAACCAGAGGATATTCATGGACGCCTCTTAATTGCACATATGCTTGAAAAATTAATTTCTTGAGGTTGAAGATTGCTGCATCTGTGGTAAGAGCACTTGCTTCTTTGAAGAACTCAGTTGCTTGTTCTTCATATGTAATGTGCTTTGTACATGTTGCTCCAACTATGATTTCATAGAACACCAAATACTTCTGTTGCAAGCCAGACATATTACAGTTTTACTGTTGGCTCTGAAGGAATCATCTCTTTTTACCCACAGATTTAACTTTGATGCCAGAGAAGATGCAACCAGTGCCATAACGATATCGAATATGCAAACTTGAACTTAACTCATTGAACTGCTCATACAAAACTAAAGTCACTTCAAAAAATTTCAGAACAAGAACACAGGTTGTTAGTAGTGGACACGTATGTTTGGTGAAAGGGGAGGGGATTTTAACTGTAATACAAAGGAACATCATTCAAATTCTTAGAAAAAACCCCCTGTGTGCAGGTCACACTAATGAGTGAAACTAACTGGGGGTTGTAGTTTACTCTGCTTTACAAAAGAGGTAATTTCTTTTTGGGTTTCCCTGTCAATTTAGAAGAAGTTTTCTGGAAGGGTGGAGGAGACTGTTAATAAGGTATTTAATCAAAATACAAAAAAATGTAGGTGCTTTTCAGTTTAAAATGCAAGTAAAGAAAACTGTTATGAAATATATAGTTTTATGTAATATTCCAAGAAATATGTGGGAAGTGCCAAAATATCTAAAAATATGTACAATAAAATTCAGCTGTAGCAGTACTAAAGCTGCATTTCATGGAGATTTTTACTCTTTTTAGCATCTACATAATAAGAACTAAAATATGTATTAACACAAAAATCTTAGCTCTAGTGATTGCTCACAAGTACATTATGCATAGCTTCAGGTCTGGTTACAGATAGTACAACACCTCTGTGCCGGGGAAGACCACCCAGAAAGCAACCAAGGCAGTCGGGATGGAGGATATTCAGAAAATCATGGACTTGCAGAAGCTATACGTCAGTTTACACTTACTGTAACCAAAGAGCAGATGGAACTTGCCAGACTGAAGACTGTGTTGGAGCGTCAGAACTCTTTGCGTCCTGTGTTTGGTCCGTTGCTTCGTCTAAACAGGCGTGAGAGGCAACGTGCTAGCAATTTACGCAGAATTCTTGCTGAAGCAGGGATTGATTATCCAATGCTTTCTGCCACATATTCAAAGAATGGAAAGGAAAGCATTGCCCAATTGCTGGCTTCAAAATTGGCACAGGCAAAACCAAAAGAAGTAGATGAATTGCATGAACTGTTAGTGGGCCACTTTGACCCAAATTCAGAATCAAAAACTGAGAAATCTCAATTGAATAAGGAAAATAGGTCTGGAATTGGAGATGTAAGTGGATCCAGCACCCCAGACACTACAACTAGCTCACCTATCAAAGCTCCCAGCTCATTGGGTGATAATACCACCACTGACAGTACCAATTCTCCCCAGAGTAATACTGCTTCCCCACAAAAACATTCCTTATCTACTGGTTCAGTGGTTACCATTGCATCTGAGTCAGTGGTTACCCTTGCATCTGAGTCCACTGCATCCTAAACTTGAATATGCTAAGTATGTTCGATCAGTTTCTAGAGGATGTCTGTGAGTGCCTTACCAAGGACGAGTTTTTGTTTGATGCCACTGTTGCCTTTGTTCAATAAAGTTGTTTTGTTAATGTTCATATGATATAAGTGATTAAGAAAATATATCAGTTGTTTTGTTTTAATTAGCTATGGCCCAAGATTGTTATTTGTCTTATTAAATATTTTGTGATGCAAGGAATAAATTGTTTCTCTTATTTTGTTTGTTAATTTTGGGCACTGTATGTGCCAGTGAGGAAACTTTAGTTCCACAGGCAGTTTCTGGAACATTCTTCACAAGCAGTGAGAAAACTTGGTTCACAGTCATTCTAAATCAATATTCAGATCTCATTGTAACAATACTAAATAAAGAATGATTTGTCTAGAAGATTTGTGTCCTCTTTCTTTTCAGCAGGTCTTCAACCAGAACTCATTCCAGTTTCTTGTGTTTCAGGCTAATACTGTCATTGCCCTGCCTTTATTCTCTTACTTCAAGGCAATAAACTTCAATCTTTCTTCTGTTTCTTTTTTAAATTTATTTTAAAAATCTGTCAGTCTCTAGACTATGTAGCATCATGTGATGGATCGTAATATACATCTGTAACACAGGATGAGTATTAAATTACAAGACCGATAAACAGCATTCATTTGAACCCTTAAACAACTTATCTCTTTCAAAGTATGAGGGGCAGTCAAATGAAAATGGGTTAGAAGCCAAAACATATTAAAGAACATTTCTTACCTCAAAAATGAAATCCAAAACTGTTAATACATTTATCCCATTGGGACATAAGACAGTCAATCCCATCCTTGAAAAAGCTTGTGGGCTCTCTACAGAACCACATCTCTACCCAGCCACACACATCTTCATCCAGTGCAAACCGATGTCCACGAATGTGTCTCTTCAGGTCTCCAAAAATGTGAAAATCACACGGGGAGAGATCTGGGCTGTAGGGGGGGGGGATGTTGAAGCACTTCCCAACCAAATCTCTAGCATATTCCTCACACAGTTGGCAGTTTGGGAGCGTGCATTATCATGAAGGATAATACCGTTCAATAGCATTCCAGGGTGTTTTGAATTTATGGCACGTCTCAGTTTCTGCAAAGTGTTATGTTCCTGCGTGAGTTGATGTGGAACCCACTTCGCACAGATTTTGCGGTACAGTAGGTGTTTTATCACAATGGCGTGTACGGAACCGTGACTTATTCCCATCAAAAGATTAATTTCTTCCTCAATGATCCGTCAATTTGCCCAGATATGATCATCCAATGCAGGAATAACATCTGGAGTGATGACACGATGAGCCTGTCCTGTGCGAGCATCATCTTGCAGTGACACACGTCCTTCTCAGAATATCTTTTGCATTGCCAGCATGCTGTGTTCGCTGTAAACAACAGACATGCGATGATGAATTTCTTGTCGTCCTACTCCTTCAGCAGTCAAAAAGCGCACTACACTTCGCTGTTCGTCTTTACCCACCTCCATTACTGATGTTGGACAACCACATGTCGCGCTAACCTTACTTCCAGCACAATAAACGACTAGTGTGCAAGGGCTCGTTACTGTGCTTTCTTGAGTCCCCACCAGATGTTCGTACCATAAGCAAATTCCAATGTTGCCAACTTTAGCGCCGTGTGAATTATGCGTGGTGACCCGTTTTGATTTTACTGCGCCATATAATTTCCTTGGACACCTGTGTTCCTGTAATGCCAAGAAGCATATCTGAAAATGATTTTGTGAAAATTCTTCAGCAGCTGTCATTTCTTTCTTGTGGATGTCGACAGATTCAAAGTATGCTCCTTTCAGTAAACATTTTAATTTAATAAAGAGAAAAAATGTGACCCGGAGATTGAGTGAGTAAGGGGAATGATCAAGTACAAGAACTTAGTTTTGAGGTAGGAACTGTCAAACTAATTGGACACCATGCTGAAGCATTGTCCCAGTGCACAGTGCAACTATTCTCCCACCGTTCCATTATTCAGATTCTTTCTCACAGTTTTGACAATTTCTGATTCATGATTTGACGTGGTGAAATGTATTCAGCCATAAAAGTTCCTTTGACACCAAAGAAAACTGGCATTGTCTTACTTTTTAATTTTGACATTCTTTGGCCAATTTGGAATAAGGAAGGTTTGCCAGATCAGTGAAATGAGTCTGTAATTGTACCATTTCACAAGAAGGGTGATAAAACTGATTGATGTAATTATCATGGGATATCACTGATATCAAAACCAGGTCGGACTGAAATTAAACAGGACACATCAGATGTTGATGTATGTTGATGATGTGAAACTGCTGGTTGATAATATAGATACCATAAAGAGAAACAGACAAATTTTAATTGTTCAAGTAAGGAGGTTGGTATAGAAGTAAACACAGAAAACTAAGTATATGTTGCTGTCTCATCACCAGAATGCAGGACAAAATGATGACAACAATAGGAAACAGATTTTTTGAATATGCGGCACTGTTCATATATTTGAGAACGACTATAACAAATAAAACCGGATTGAGGAGGAAATTGAACACGGGTAATGCTTCTTACCATTCGGTCCAGAACCTTTTGTCTTCTCGTTTGCTCTATAGAAACATAAAAATTAGAATATACAAAACTAATTTAGCCTGTGGTTCTGGGTGAATGTGAAAGGTTGTCTCTGACATTAAAGGAGGAACATAGACTGAGGGTGTTTGAGAACAGGATGTTCAGGAAAATATTTGCACTGAAGAGGGATTAAATGACAGGAGGTTGAAGAAAACTGCATAATGAGGAGCTTCATAACTTGTACTCTTCTCCAAGTATGATTAGAATGATCAATTCAAGGATAATGAGGTGGGCAGGGCATGTAGAACGAATGGGGAGAAGGGGAATGCATATAGGATATTGGTGGGAAAGCCCGAAGGAAAGTGACCATTGGGAAGACTTAAGGCATAGGTGGTTGGATGATATTAAGGCAGCATCTACACGAGCGCATAAAATGCGTCCATTGTAACAACATACTTTGCTGAGGACACCACACAGCTGCAGAATGTGATGTGTAGTTTCATTGCAGACAAAAACTATGCACCGCATTCTGCAAAGTACATTCGTTACAACGGACGCATTTTGTGTGCTCATGTAGATGCTGCCTAAAATGGAAGTTAAAGAGGAATGGGATGGCATTGATTGGATTGATCTGGCTCAGGATAGGGACCAGTGGAGGGCTCTTGTGAACACAATAATGAACCTTTGGGTTCAATAAAATGCTGGGAAATTCTTGAGTAGCTGCAGATTTGGCTTCTCCTCAAGAGGGGCTCAGCTACATAAGTATCACTGATATCAACTTCATAAAATTTTTCATCCAGTATCCTCTTAAGGTTGAGTTCATACATGAACGAAATTATTGGGGTTCATCAGTGTTGGTTTTGATATAACAGATCAACAATTGATCAGCATATTTGCGTTCATCAGATAACTGGCGAAAAAATATGAGTACAACGAGACAATACATCAGCTATTCATAGACTTCAAGAAAGCCTATGATTCAGTTAAAGGGGGAGAATTGTACAATATCTTCATAGAGTTTGGGGTACCCATGAAATTATTTAGGCTCATTAAAATGTGTTTAAACGAAATGTAAGTAAAGTCCATATAGGTAAATATTTTTCTGATAATTTTCCTATCTAGAATGGTCTAAAACAAGGAGATGCTTTATTGCCACAGCTTTTCAACTTTTCTTTAGAGAATAGCATTGGGAATGTCCAGGAAAACCCGGTTGGACTGAAATAAGTGGAACGCAGGATGCTGATCTATGTGAATGAGGTGAATCTACTGGTGATAACATAGATGCCATGAAGAAAAACTGAGAAACTTTAATTGATGCTAGTAAGGAGACTGGTGTAGAAGTAAATGTAGAGAAAACTATATGTTTCTGCATCATCACCAGAATGCAGGGCAAAATCATGACATAGAGACAGCTAAAAGATACTTTGAAAATCTAGCACAGTTCATATATTTGTGAATGACAGTAAGAAATCAAAATTTGATTCAAGAGGAAAATAAGAGATGATTGAATTCAGGTAGTAGTTGCTACCATTCAGTCCAGAACCTTTTGTCTTCCTGTATGCTGTCTAGAAACATAAAAATTAGAACATGAAAAGTATTATTTTGCCTGTGGTTCTGTATGGGTGTGAAACTTGGTCCTGACATTTAACATGGCGGTAGGTTGAGCTGGTCGGAGTTTATTTAAATGCTCACTGCTAGTGTGCATTTAAATATCTGTTGTTGCTTTTCATTTAAATGTCATTGCTTGTTAGGACGCTTACATTGTATTTAAAAATGCTTTACCTAATACAATTTTTATGATAAATGAATGGAATTAACTTTGTTTTTATCAGAAAAGAACATAGTGCCTCAAAGTATAGCGTATGATTTGAAAATGTGTAGACAAGAAATTTATATTCTAGTTTTAATATTTCCTTGTAATGTTGATACATACTGTAAAAAATTGTTCCCTTCTCCTTCGTAGAATAGTTCTGCATTATAAAATCACCCCTGCTTCTAGCACTTGAAATATTTTTGCATTCTCTGCTGCCATAAACCAGTTGGAAGCAATAAAATCAGTTGGTTCTCTGCTGGCAAGTTTCACATCTTTGTTGAACTCTTAAGATATTTCAGGCTTTTCACTAAAGGAGAGAAAAGTGAAAGCATTGCAGTTCAAGGAAGGTTACAGAGTCTTTGTTCCCTTCTTCAGTTCCAAGCACTTCCAGTGCAATTGCCCTTTCTAAAGTCATAAACAAACACATGAATCATGTTTCGGGTACTTCAAGAAGTACCATAGAAAAGCGAGATTCAGTTACATGATGTTGGCGGTGAACCCTGTGTACACATCAAGCAGATAACTACAAAAATGGTATGGACATTTAATTTTAATCTATTTGAAACTAAATACAAGGGTTGGATAATAAGTAGTGGCAACACTGCTGTAACATGAAAAATGTGCATCAGGTGGCACTAACGCCATCTGTAACTGATAGCAGAAGTTCAGTTGAAGTAGTGCAGTGAGTGGCTCTGGTTTTGTTTCATTGAGTTGCATTGTGCATCGTCTTGAAGTGCAGGAGCCCAGTTCAAGCACCCTAACAACATGTCTATGAAACAAGAACAACGCTCCTGGATAAAAATTGAAGTTGCACGAGGTTGTAGTGCACAAAACTCTTATCAGAGACCCAAGAAGCATGTGGTGATGCTGCTTTGCCATATCGCACAGTGGCACCATGGGTGAAATTGTTCCTTGAAGGAAGGGATGCCATTTAGGTCAGCCGTCATTCAGGACAACCCCATGATGACAACCACACAATTCAGCTTCTTGCTTCTTTGCTGGATGTCGATTGTCAATGGGCTGCACGGGAGTTAGCTGCTGAGGTAGGCGTATGTCACAAAACCATGCTCCACATTCTGCACTGTATTCTTGGATACCACAAAATTACAGCGTGTTGGGACAAGACAGTAACTTTCATTCAAAATAAATATCTGCTCATGAGCGGTCATGAGCCTCAGCTGGGGCTCGACACCAAGACCGACAAACTGACTGACCGTCAGTTGCAACATGACTTTGACTTTGACTAGAATAGTACATTCGAACATGAGTTTAACTGCGTGGCGAGCTGTTTCATAATTGTTCCCAAGCAAATTGTGTAGTGCCAACACACACCAAGAGGTAAATATTGTGTCCATGGAAATCGTTCTGGTTTGCCTATTCGTATAGTAATATCATGCCATGTATCGGGTATGTGAGTTTAAACGTTCAGAAACGTGTAAATGGAAAATTAACCTTTTAGAGGAAGTTCATGGATATGAAAGTGAAAATGTTTCTGTCTTTACTTCAAAAGTCTAAGAAGTTGTTGGGTGTCAACGATCAAAGCCCAGCACCTGAGAGTGAAATATTTCCACACAGTGTTGAACACGCAAGGAAAACTCCAAACATAGATTGTCTTTCGACACTATCTGAAGAAGAACTTTTAAAAAAGAACGAAGATCTTAAGGAAACAATATATGGTAAGGTGCTTATTGATTCATTCGTGTATCATGTTTGAATGAGAATATAACTTACTTTTCGTAATTTATTTTGAAGAAAAAACATAGTTACGTAGTGCTGTAACGCTTGTGTTAGCGGTTTTTAACCTGCGTGTAGATATGACTGGGCAATTTTTCATATTTTTTGTTTAGCTGCATACAGTGCTAATAGAAGTTCACAAGGAACTTTATAATTGTATTATTACATTGAACATATCTACTGGAGAGCTTTAGCAGGTTCCTCGAAATTATTTCGAAGTGCAGGAAGTTGGGGAAGAGGCGAAGCGAGGTTCCCGTTTTGTAATACCTGTAATAGCTCTAACGCTAGAAAAGATGTTGATGATTATTAAAGTGAGCTAAAACAGTAGTGAAATTAGGAAATTGTTTAATATATTTTATTCAACATTTTTTTATTATATTCTAAGGATATGTATTGTCAGTCTTTCAGGCATTGCACCACAGTTCTACTATTTTTCTTCTCCATAAAAAGACTATCAGAGCGATGTTGGGATATGGCAATAGAGTTTCGTGTAGAAACATATTTAAAGAGTTAAATATTTTATCATTTGCATCACAATATGTAGTTTTATTAATATTTGTAAGGGGTACACAGTAGTGTAGTTGGTTGAGGGGCTATGCTACAAGCCGGAAGGTTGCGGGTTCAAGTCCTGCCGCACTATGGCCTTGGGGGTCGACTCAGCCTCTAATAGAAACGAGTACCAGGAATTAATTAAATAACTTTCCTGGGGTGTAAGGCTGACAACCTTACAACCATCTTCGAGCCGATTGTCTAGATAATGTGGGACCCTCAACGTCTCACAACCCTATGGGCCTTCACGGCCTGTTACAGGGATAGCTTTACTCTACTTTACTACTATTTGTATTGCCAAATAAAGTTCTTTTTCCATCAAACATTGATTCTCATAATACTGATACTAGACAAAGATGAGATTTGTATCTGTCTCAAGCTAATTTAACTATTTATCTAAAAGGAGTTTCTAATGCGGGTATAAAAATATTTAATAAATTTCCCATACTGATCAAGAACACATCTAATAATTTTGAAAAGTGTAAGGTTGTATTAAGGCATTTCTTGAACACTCGTACGTTTTATACTGTGGATGAATATCTAAATAGATAACTTTTATTGTTGTATTCATTGTACTGTCTAGTTGTGTAATTTCTATGCTCTATAATTATGTTATGACATGTTCTGTATCCATTTTTTGGATCTCATGAACTTACAATAAATACAAATACAAATACATCAACTAGACATTAAGACAGTAGTAAACTCGTTTCTTAAAATATATATACAAATATCAATTGAAAGTCTTTTATACAAAATACCATATAAACAGCATTATAAAAAGTTTAGTTCATCTTGTATTTGCCTATGATATTATTCTCCAAAATGCTAAATGTAAAAACATACATTTGGAGAGGGTGTGGTTGAAACAGTGAGGTTTGTTCATTGGGAGCACTGGTGTAGAAGCTAGATCACATATCACTCAGAAAGGCCACATTTCTGAAATAAGCAGTCATGATGGATCAAGTAATTGCAGAGCCAGGGACTAGTTTCTACTTTGAATAGCATTCAAACAAACAAATATTCGCTGCCTCCTGTAAATAATTACTTATTAATGCTAAGTACATGAAAGGTGACACATGAAAGAGAAATTCCTGTTCTCTGAATTTCTGGCCACTACTGGACATGGAAAAGAACATTACAGAATTTATTTGCCATTAAGAATTTACAGTGGCAAAATTGGTTGGTATATACACTGGTGGAGTACCATCAGTGATGGAATTACATTATGGTGTGAAGGCACATTGGTGCATATGGATATACTGTGATATACACTTCCACCAAGTCTTAGTAAAATTCATTCTTTCATTCATTCTTATTCATTCTGGAGATTAAAAATACATTGATATAGGATATTACAATAATGGTAATAAATATAAGTTAATAGAAGTATAACAATAGAAGTATTAAAAATAAGTATAATATAATATCAACCGATTAGATATATAGCTTATTAGAAATAAAATATAGGGGTATTAAAAATAATTATAATAATATTAAATTATTAGAAGTATAACTTATTCTACATATCTGCATATCAGTAGTTAGTATTGCAGAATTCTTCATTGAAGAAGCATTCAACTGAATAATAGCATCTATTAATAAGTTCTTCAGTTCCTCTTTAAACTGGTTGTTGTCACCTATTTGTTTTGTGTTGTTGGGCAATTTGTTGTAGAAGATGCCACCTGCTGCTGGTGGTTTACTCTTATGAAGTTATAAATTACATATCTATGATAATTATTATTTCTTGTGTTATATGTATGTATTTGTTTATTTACAGTGCAGTTACCATTTTCTTTTGCATATAAGATGGTTTTTTGAATGCATAGTGAATATATTGTTAATATTTTTAATTGCCATATGCCAGAAGGGGGTAAATGAAACCATAATACAACATTCTTCTTGCATTCATATTTAGTATATTAGGTAGTCTATTAATTATAAATCATTTATGGCTAATTCTAGTACAGGTGTTTTCAATATGTACTTCCCAGCTTAGGTTACTGTCAGTTATAACCTCAAGGAAATTAGTACTTTTTGAGCTGAGTATTTCTCTGTTTGTTATTAGAATTTTTAATTCACATTCCTGCCTGGAAGAGAATGTAGTGTGTTTGGGTTGGATTTATAAATAAATTGTTTCAAAATATTGCTCTGTTAAGCCTGCTTTTAAAATTGTTAATCAAATTTAAGTAGTCCCACAAATTCCAGCGTATTTTAAAATGTTACATGAAGAGGTTGGAACCGAATTTAGTGCACTTATGTCTCACACAAATGTATGCTGGTTATCATGAGGAAAATTCCTAAACTGACTGTTGTGATAACAGTTTTCTTTGAGAGAGAGATCTGCTAGTGTGTACAAATTGTTTAGGAAAATAATGGGCTGTACATTTCTAGATTCTAAATATATCATAACTTGCAGATTGTTTGCACTGAAATTAATCAGATAAACTCTTAGTACAAGCAAATATGGTGGATATTCTCATAGCTCAAGACAAAGTTGCTGGCTGCCTTAGTATGTTCCAGCTTTACCAATATAGGACAGAAGCAGGCTATATATCCATGCTGCTATAACTGACAAATCTGAGGCAACTGAACAGAAATGTTCATTTGCAATTATCATAAGAGAAAAGCAGCATTTCTTGGCCTGCATGAAGATAACATATTAAGAGTAGATTTTGAGGGTTCTGATGTGACAGCTCTTAGGCAGATAGTTGGTTTAGAATACCCAGTTCTTTGATATTGCTCTCAAACTTTAATCTTATTGGCCATTGTGTGCCACTCTGAGGCTGGCTGTCTTTAATAGTCAACATCGAAATGAAGGCAAGGAATACATTCTTTAAGAATATTCCATCAGAATATAAGAGGATTGAGAAACAAAACAAATGAACTACAGTGCGTACAATCAAGTGCGCGCCGCGGCTGCAATTTGCCGTGAGTCATACCACCGCAGAACGGATGCAGTCGCGGGGAGAGTTGCAACTCCTCCCCGCGACTGCATCCGTTCTGCGGTGGTATGACTCACGGCAAATTGCAGCCGCGGCGCGCACTTGATTGTACGCACTGTAGTTCATTTGTTTTGTTTCTCAATCCTCTTATATTCTGATGGAATATTCTTAAAGAATGTATTCCTTGCCTTCATTTCGATGTTGACTATTAAAGACAGCCAGCCTCAGAGTGGCACACAATGGCCAATAAGATTAAAGTTTGAGAGCAATATCAAAGAACTGGGTATTCTAAACCAACTATCTGCCTAAGAGCTGTCACATCAGAACCCTCAAAATCTACTCTTAATATGTTATCTTCATGCAGGCCAAGAAATGCTGCTTTTCTCTTATGATAATTGCAAATGAACATTTCTGTTCAGTTGCCTCAGATTTGTCAGTTATAGCAGCATGGATATATAGCCTGCTTCTGTCCTATATTGGTAAAGCTGGAACATACTAAGGCAGCCAGCAACTTTGTCTTGAGCTATGAGAATATCCACCATATTTGCTTGTACTAAGAGTTTATCTGATTAATTTCAGTGCAAACAATCTGCAAGTTATGATATATTTAGAATCTAGAAATGTACAGCCCATTATTTTCCTAAACAATTTGTACACACTAGCAGATCTCTCTCTCAAAGAAAACTGTTATCACAACAGTCAGTTTAGGAATTTTCCTCATGATAACCAGCATACATTTGTGTGAGACATAAGTGCACTAAATTCGGTTCCAACCTCTTCATGTAACATTTTAAAATACGCTGGAATTTGTGGGACTACTTAAATTTGATTAACAATTTTAAAAGCAGGCTTAACAGAGCAATATTTTGAAACAATTTATTTATAAATCCAACCCAAACACACTACATTCTCTTCCAGGCAGGAATGTGAATTAAAAATTCTAATAACAAACAGAGAAATACTCAGCTCAAAAAGTACTAATTTCCTTGAGGTTATAACTGACAGTAACCTAAGCTGGGAAGTACATATTGAAAACACCTGTACTAGAATTAGCCATAAATGATTTATAATTAATAGACTACCTAATATACTTGATATCAATGCAAGAAGAATGTTGTATTATGGTTTCATTTACCCCCTTCTGGCATATGGCAATTAAAAATATTAACAATATATTCACTATGCATTCAAAAAACCATCTTATATGCAAAAGAAAATGGTAACTGCACTGTAAATAAACAAATACATACATATAACACAAGAAATAATAATTATCATAGATATGTAATTTATAACTTCATAAGAGTAAACCACCAGCAGCAGGTGGCATCTTCTACAACAAATTGCCCGACAACACAAAACAAATAGGTGACAACAACCAGTTTAAAGAGGAACTGAAGAACTTATTAATAGATGCTATTATTCAGTTGAATGCTTCTTCAATGAAGAATTCTGCAATACTAACTACTGATATGCAGATATGTAGAATAAGTTATACTTCTAATAATTTAATATTATTATAATTATTTTTAATACCCCTATATTTTATTTCTAATAAGCTATA